ATCCTGTCCAGAGACATTCTGTCACCTTCACGATCATCTTCAGAAAGCAAACATTCAAAGGGGTCCAAATGGCTCACTGTGTCTTCCCTCTGATTGTGGGTTTGTTTGCAGCTGGGTAGGAACAGATGCACACTCACACACAAGTCATTGCATAAAGATAGGTTTGGGAGCACACAAAAACAGAAATCTTTCAGCAAGTCTTCAGATGGTGGTGGGGAAGGGAGACTGCCTCTGAAAAGGGTACATCTGTTATGAGGTATCCTTGGGAAAATCCTCAGTTGGGCCTAAAATGGGAATAGAAGGTACTGGTAGATGATGACCACTGTTCTAAAGCAAGGTGTCATTTGTGGCTCTTGCTGAATGAAGATGCCTAAGGGAGAATGGAATATCCTGTGCCTATCACCCACTCAAGTTTCTTTTGTTTAGATTCTTTTTGATAATTACTGAGCTTCCCCAACTAAATAGGTTGGGGAGAAACTTGTCCCTTTTCATCTTAGAGCGAGGGAAAGTTATAATGAGACTGCACTCTGGGAAAAGGTTGCATTTAAATTCCATTGAGGGTCCAAATTTTGCCCTAGATAAGAAATAAAAAGGGTCAACTCTTTTTCCTCCCTCCCTCCAACCCTCCTTCGCCCACTGAGACTTAGCTGCAATCAATAGGCACCACCTCTGTCACCTGTCCCTAATAGCTGAGCTGGCCCCACTTGCTCTGACTGTCGGAATGTCTTAAGATTCTTTCTTTCAGGAAAACTGAAAGTTCTGTGGGCAAATCTAGATATCATCTGGACCTTGCATCTGATAGGAAATAAGTGGAATAGAGACTGTGTAAAAGGACAGCATCTGTCCCTGGTGGCTTGAAATTACCTTTTCATTGTGATAAAGAATAACCTGCCCCAAGGAAGGGCTGCTAGTCCCAGGTTTGGCGGACCTTAGAACACCCTCCCAGAATCAGCCCCTGCAGTAGAAAAGCAAGGCAGCTGGGCCCAACTCCTGCTTTCATTCAGTAACAGCAAAATCTTGCCCCCGATTTTGGAAAGGGGAACAGGGGCAGAGGAAGACAGGTTTCTGATGCCAAGTAATCTCCCTTTCTATGTTCATTACCTTGAAGCAAGGACTAATGGTGGTCGGCCAGCGCACAGGGTCCTTGAGAATGAGGCTGACCAGCTGAAAGATGCTCGTAGTGTAGAAGGGAGGGGTGCCTACAGCCAGCTCATACAGTATGCAGCCCACAGACCAGAGGTCTGCGGTGTGGTCGTATGGACGCTCTTCCACCAGCTCTGGAGACATATAGAGTGGTGTGCCTTTGATGGATGTCAGCACCATCGTGTTGGTGCTCATCGCCCGGGCAAATCTGCAGGAGATGATGGAACGGAAATGGGACGAGAGACCGTAATCAATACACAAACTAGGCCTGGTGACTACTACCTATCATTGTGTGAGCTATCCCAAACCCACACAGAGAGCACCTTCCTAAAGATCCAACAGGAATCCCAGTCTCCAGCTTGGCTTCTAAAATGAGGCCTAGGTAAGTCAAGCATATGATCTGAGACTCCCTGCAGAATGAGAAGCAGAGACGGAGGGTCAGTCTCCTCACCCAAAGTCACAGAGCTTGATGCCACCACCCTTAGCAAGAAGGATGTTCTGAGGTTTCATGTCTCGGTGGAGGATGCGGTGGGAATGCAGATAGTACAGAGCAGACACCAACTGGGCAGCAATGACTTGAACCTAGGGGTCAAACAGGGTGGGAGAAAGAAAGGAGAGGTCAGAGGAAGGAGCCTACTGACAAGCCCAAAGACACTTCCCTAAATTACTGATGTGATCTCTTCTTTTTCTTTTTTCCAGAGCTTCCCATGACATCTTCCTTAGTTCTTGCCCCCCCCATTCATTCATTCTTTCATTTGTTCATTTATTCACTGAAGAAAAATGACCGTGGATGAGCAAATTATCCCGTGCCTCTCAGATGCGTCATTTATAGGCTGACGATAATACCACCACCTCCCTTATAGGGTTACCGCAAGGATTAAGTTAAGTTACAGCATGCCATGCTCAGAATGGTGGCTGGCACTTAGTAAACCTTCAATATACATTAGCTGTTATTAAACAAGACAAAGTCCTCTTTCTCAAGAGAAGTGGTCAAATGAATAAGATACACAAAATGAGCAAGATGATAACTTACAAATAATAATGCTCAGAGGGAGATTGGCATGCCGCAACAGGAAATCCTGAGGAGGGGGGTCTACTCGCTAGGGTACAGAGAAATCTCTAGAACAAGTGTGGCTGGAGAATGTGTTCGACCATCCCACTGCTAACCACTAGATCTTGCTGGTGAATCCTGCCTTAACCACAACCTTATCCCTTCCTGCCCCCTCTGGTACCACACGCTAAAGGTGCCTAGTAATAGCAGCAGCATTAATAATTGCTAACTAGAGGCATCTGGGTGGCTCAGCTGGTTAAGCATCTGCCTTCGGCTCAGGTCATGATCCCGGGGTCCTGGGATGGAGGCCTGCATTGGGCTCCCTGCTCAGCGGGGAGCCTGCTTCTCCCTCTCTCTGCCTGCCGCTCCCCCTGCTTATGCTCTCTCTGTCAAATGAATAAATAAAATCTTTAAAAATAATAATAATAGCTAACTATGTTGAATACTGCATGTCAGGCACTCTTTTAAACACTTTACATGAATTAATTCACTCATCTTCACACTAGCCTCATGCGACAGACATTATAATTACATCCATTTCTAAATCAGGAAACTGAGCACCAAGAGGTTAAAGTAACTCGCCCCCGAAGATCCAGCTAGAAAGTGGCAGGGTCAACCTTTGTACTCCGAGATTTTGGCTCCAGTGTTCACATACTTTCCTGTCACACCACATTGTCTCCACATACACCCAGACTCTTGTATTTTCCTTGGGAGTTTTCAAAATGGTGATTCTCAGTGCCCTCAGCTTTCCCTACCAGTCCTTAAGCTGAAAAGAGGTCAGGGGAGGGGAGAGGTTTGAGCCAGGAAACATACCTGGTCTTCGGGAAGTTTTCCGTCATCTTCCAAGATCTGAAAGAGCTCTCCCTCAGCATAGTCTGTCACCACCACCACCTGCAGGGAGAAGGCGGTTCTGATGGCTCCAGATTTATGCATTCTGAGGTCAGGAAATTTCTGGGACCCTTCTTCTTGGGGAAGGGTGACCCAAAACCGAAGTGCACCTCTTTGTCAGTTTCAAAGCTGTCAAGCATATGCACAATGTTGGGATGCCGCAGACCCCGCATGATTTCAATCTCTCGTTGCAGATTCCTCAGCTCCTTCTCTGAGCGTCCCAATTTTGGAATGAACTTCAGGGCCACCACCTGTCAGTGGTAAGATGAAGAAGAGTCAAGGCCTAACCACACTATTGAAACATTCACCTCAGAGCTCCAGAACTCAGGCTTTAGATTGTTGGAGCAAATTCTCCTCACCTGCTAGTCTCCTACTCCCCTTCCCCACAGTACCCTGGCCTTATCCAGGCCTCCCCCCCCCCAACTTGCCCTAGGAGAAAACAGCCTCCACCAGACAGATCCCTTTAGTGGATTCTGGGAGAGGTGTTCTGATCTGGGTAAAAAACTCCGGGTAAAGATTTAAGAGATTCAAGGAAAAGAGAAGGAAGAAAAAAACGAAGAATTGAGTTCAGGTGGTTTCTCTCTTCCAGTATGGTATGATAGAGGAAAAAAACAATAAATATAAAATTTATTTATTGTTTACTAGGTGCCAGACACTGTATTAGTATAGTAATTCAGCGTGAATCACATTTAATCCTCAAACCCCATCAATCAGATACTGTTCATAATTATCCTCATTCTAGAAATGAGGAAACAGACATTGAGAGGTTAAGTAACTTGTCCACAGTTCGAAGGCTACAAAGTGGTGGACCTAGGATCTAAACCCAAGTAATCTAATATTAGGGCTCATACTCCGTAAGAGGAATGAGGGAGTCAGTGCCTCAGGAATATAGGTCGGTATTCTGGTCCCATTTTCCACCGTGGTTGGAGGTACAGAATCCCACCCAAGAGATACCCCTCTTTGTTCACCACCTGAGCACTGTATTTTCTTCGACCCTTGTACACCCTCCCAAAAGAGCCTTCTCCAATCATCTCCAACACGTGGTACTTTTCCATGACAGAGGTTTCAGGATCCCTCAGAAGGAAGGAGGTAGAGATGGTGGTGAAGGGCTACAGCTCCAGGGACAGTTCCATACATCTAGGAGGCCTGGTTCGGGCATGGAAGAAAGGTTAATGTTAGCCACCTTGCCTTTTCCTTTTTCATAATAATCCAGGCGTCAAAAACATCGTAGCGCGAGGTGGATGGAAAAATAAGATCTTGGAGCAAAGAGAGCGCCTCCTGTCGTTCTCCCTTCTTTTCAGCCACCTCCTGTCCCCCAACCCAACCTCGTTCCCACCGGACCCCATGTCCCCCTTCCCCCTCCACGCAGCCCCCCCCCCCCTCCTCCTCCCCTCCCCTCCTCCTCCCCTCCCCCTCCTTCTACCCAGACTCGCCCCTCGGCCCCGCCCCCTCCACCCAGCCTCGCCCACCCGACCCCGCCCCTTCCAGCCTTTCCCAAGTTCCTGCCACCGCCAACCTCCTCAGCACCGCCTCCCATGGCCCCTGCCCGCGCGCTTCGCAGACCGGAGCCCCTCTCTCACCCCCAGCCTAGGAGCTTCAAGCTCCTTAGGCCGAGATACGTCCACCCTGGCCTTCAGCCCCGTCCCTTCCGGCTGCCTGCAGACTTTGCCTGACTTATAGTTCTTCTCCACCCTCACTGCCGGTCTCTTTAGACTCCCATTGTTACCAGCTGTACTCGTTGGAACTGGTCAGAGAGGTTCAGAGGACGAAGGCGTTCACAGGTGTTGGGAGAGACGGCGGACCGCCCATAGGCACTTCCTAGGGCACTTCGGAACCGTCTCTTGGGCATCAGGACCCACTAAGGACCTGGAGTCTATGGTTGCCTAGAAACGGCCGCTAGCCTCCCTGCCTCCCTCCCTCCTTTTAACTTGCGGCCCCTGACTTTCCTGAGAGTATTTCCGGTTCCGGCTGTGGGCCGGAGAAGACATGGCGGCGACTGCGTCGGCGGCTGCAGGGGAGGAGGACTGGTAAACTTTGGGGGCATGGGCTTTGGCTGGCCGCCTGGATCCGGTCCGGGGGACTAGTAGTGGCCGCGGACGGTCCGTACGGCGGGCCTGTGGGGCGGAGCGAGGGATAAGGGATGACAGAGACGCTGACATGTCTTCCTAAGAGAGCTTCTGTACTGGGGAGCAGGAGGGTGGAGGGGCACCGATCTGATGGGAGAGGAGACCGGATCTGCGCCGGCCAGGCCAGCTCGGGCTGCGCCTTATCTGGCTTGATCCCCTCTTCTTCGGCCTCACTCGGCCCATTCTCCTGAAGTGGATTTGTTCAGGGTCCCGGAGGATGCCTGCTTATTAGCTCTCCCCACCTCCCTTTTACCTCCCGGAACCGATGTCCTCCAGCCTTCGACCCCCTTTCCCTTGGATCAGCCTATTTCTGCCGAGGCTTTCCTCAGCCGTCTCCCTCCCCGACAGCACTAATGAGGACTGTTATCTGAATAAACCTTTACACCTCACAAAAAGCTCTCCTAGTCCTTCTCTGAAGCATTCTCAACAAGAGACCAAAACCTGGAAGGACTCTGGGATTGGAAATAGGATAAATGTGGGTTCACTCCAGAGTCTATTAGCGTGTGACGCTGACCAGGCCACCCAGGTTCTGTGAGTCAGTGTCCTCAGATGTAAAAAAAGTGGGTGTGGCATCTACTCATAGAATAGTTGATAGGATCAGGGTGGATTTGTAACATAAAAGCCTCCTTTTTGTAACTGAGGTGTGGGCCCCTGAGGGGCCTAGATGAGGCCTGAAGAGGTAGATCGATTTGCTAAAAAGGTACACAGTTATGACTAGGAATCCAGGTTGTCTGACTCCATGCATCTTAGTTTTTAGTTCTAGGACATTATACAATCCCCCTGCCACCCCCCCTTTTTTTTGTCACCACCTTACCATCATCCCATTCCATACCGCACATCCAGGGCCCAAGTCCCAGCTAGGGAAGTATTGAAGGGCCTCTTGATGGAGGTTACACTTCAGTGTTTTGTTGGTTCAGGGAGGCCAGCCAGTGTTGGCCTTTTTGAGACCACCTGGGCTCATCGTTTTCACCTTGTTCAGCGGAACTTGTAAGATTCTGAGGAGACACTTTGAGCCATGGAGAGGGCAGTAGTGATCTCACAGCTAGCTTGTGCTCTGAGACTCCCACACTTAAGTCAACCAAAACTACTCCACAGTTATCTCTTCTATGTTTTGAGGTGTCTAAAACTTAAAAAGAAAATTTGAGTACCAGTAATACATGGGTCATGCTAGGGCAACCCTGCTCTTGATGAAGAAAGAACAGTATAAGAAAGGAAAGCAAGCATGCGTCTTTACATGCATTACCTGGGTAGAGCTATGGACTTGAGCCTATCACTAACCTTCAATGTCATTATAATGGCTATTTCTATAATTAAACATGTATGTCCTCTCATTTACATCAAGACCACCAGGTCCTGACCTAAACAGGTTGATCTAAATCAACCAGATAACAAGGGTCATAAATACATTGAATACTAACTATATCCTTCCTTCTTTCAAGGGAGAAAGTTATATACAAATAGGAGAAAAGAGAACATAGACTAGCTACTATGGCCAAGATATTATTAGGTACTTTCATAAACAACTTTTTATCCTCACAATAACCCTGGAGAGTAGGTGGTATTATCTATATATGGTAGACAGTGTGACTCAAGCTTACAGAGATACTTACTCAGATCATGTAGCTGGTAAGTGATTGGTACCTATTACTCCACAGCTGATGGCTCTTCTACATTACGGCCTTTAATACCACCTCGATCTCTTTTTCTGTTCAGTTGGTATGTCCTTTGAGTAGGCTTAGGGCAACTGATACTGGCTGTATGTGTAGACACTGGGATCGATGTGAACAGTGGTGTAGGGAAAGCCAGGGGTGGTATTGGTAACCTTGATGTGAACCGATGGACATCTTATTTCTGGGTCAGAGAAATGGCCAACCAGCAGCGCGATGAAACTTAAAACGGAGTCAGGAAACCTGGCTCTGGTTCTAGTTCTGCCTTTGGGAATCCATTTCCTCATCTGTTGACAGAAATGGTCCCTTAAACTCTGATTCCCATGCTTCCTACCTGGCCACTTGACAACTTAAGAAAACATATTTCCCCCATTTCTATGGAGGTTAGCAAGAGCATGCACTCAGGCAGATTGCCCGTTTTCTATAAAGCCAGCCTTCATGGGCTCTAGCAGGCTTTAACAGGGAGAGCTATAATGGTGAGTCAGTCTCCTCCTGTCTCCCTAGGGTACTTCCCTCTGAAGTCGAGGTGCTAGAGTCTATCTATCTGGATGAACTACAGGTGGTTAAAGGAAACGGCAGGTACGTATTCGACTAGAGGTGGGCAGGAGTCCCCTTAGTAATGAGAGAATTCCATGCAGAATCCACGAACCTTGATTCAGAGAAACTGTTCTCATGGAGACAAAGACGACTTCTTTAATTGCCCCCAAAAGAAAGAGCCCAGTGCTCACTTCCTCTACCTGCTTTACTGTTTCACCCCCATCTTCCCCGGTCCTCAAACTCCTGCTCAATCACATGCCCGGTCCCCACTTCATCCACCTGCAGATCTTCACCGTGGGAGATCTACATCACCCTGCACCCTGCCACTGCAGAAGACCAGGATTCACAGTATGTATGCTTCACTCTGGTGCTTCAGGTCCCAGCACAGGTGAGGCCCCTGCTTTACGGCAGCAAAGGGAGGAAGGGGAGAGGCCCTGGGGTGGAGTGCTTTAGCAGTAACATTATTTCCTCCCACTAGTACCCCAATGAGGTGCCACAGATCTCTATCCGTAACCCCCGAGGACTCTCAGATGAACAGATCCACAAGTAAGTCGGGCCGGTCAGAGCAGGGAAAACAGGATATAGCTCAGTCTGGTGAGGGGAGGGGGCAGGCCTAACGTTTGCTTTGCCCTTTTCCAGGATTTCACAGGCACTGAGCCATGTGGCCAACGCTGGGCTGGGTACCGCCATGCTCTATGAACTCATCGAGGTAAGAGGTGTGCTAGCTCGGGAAACTGCGAGAGCTGTTTCTCTCAAGGGAGGTAGTGGGCCCAGAATCTTAAATACATCTGGAGTCATACGTTCAGTTAGTCCTTGTTTAGGTGAGGCCTAAGTCCAGAAAGAAGATTTTCTTCTCTTTCCAAGAATTCCCCCCCAAAAGACAGTTCTCTAGCTTCCCCAAGTGGCTTATGCCAGTATCTTGAAAACGACTTTTCCTGTTTAACTTGTACTTTTCTTGATTCCGTTTCAGTGCATTCTCTTGGCACTGGCAACCAAAAGTAGCCAGAGATAGGGACCTTGCCTAGAGGGTCTCACCACGAATTACCTTTGAAGGCTAGCCTGCCTTTGGAGCGGACTGAAAAAGACCTGGTTCTTTCACTCAGAGCTTCTACCCTAATGACGTTACCAATCCACAGGGACCACCCCGAGCTACGAGTTCACATACACAGAAAACTTCTGTTGCTTGAGATTACAAACACACAATTAAGTACGGGTCTTGTTTTCCTCAACTTTAAGTTTTGAAGAAAAATGTCCAGAGAAGAATGAAGGTGGGCGGCCTGGAGTCAGAGGGTGGGCTTAGAGCGTTATAGCGCTGAGGCCGGCCTCCACGATGCAGCACTGAGCTTTGTGGAATTTATTCAGACAGCAGTGCACATGAGTTAGTTCATAGCCCAACTTGATGCCTTTGAGTTCTCCGTCGTTGGGGCTGTCCATGCCTTGACTTTTTCTGAAAGCTGCCTCCAAGAACAGCCTTTTGGGGGGAGTGATAATCAGAGGGGGTGAACCAAGGAAGGTGTCCCAGAAGATAGGAGCGTCAGCAGAACATTTTGTTCTCCCCAGGTAGATCATTTTCATGCCTGAGATGTATTAAAGGTGACAGAATGTGTGGAGAAACAGTGAAATCGGGTTTTGCAGCTGGGTGGTTGGGGTGGGAGGGGCAGGGACATGGAGGATTGATTCCAGGCAGAGGGAGCCTCACTGAGACAGGCGGGAACACAAAGTACCACACCGGCTTGGTAGGAGACGGTCCTGTGGTCACTCCTGGGAATAAGTGACAGGCTTTGTGCACAGTTCTTGCCCCTGCCTCCCTGTTGGAACAGTGTCTTCTCTTCTCTCAGAAAGGGAAGGAAATCCTCACGGACAACAACATCCCCCACGGCCAGTGCGTCATCTGCCTCTATGGTTTCCAGGTGGGGTTCTCTCTTGGGACCTGGGGTCAGCCCGGGATGGGCAGCAGAGGACTCATGAGAGCTTTGGCGCCATGCCCTGTGTCTGTTGTCCATTCAGGAGAAGGAGGCCTTTACCAAAACACCGTGTTACCACTACTTCCACTGCCACTGCCTCGCTCGGTACATCGAGCACATGGAGCATGAGCTGCAGGCTCAAGGCCAGGAGCAGGAGCGGCCACATGCCGCAACCAAGCAGGTCAGCACGCCAGCCCTGCGCCCCCCCCCCGGCCCCCTGCCTCACACCCTTTCCTGTCCCCCCGCTCCAGTGGCTGCTCACCTTTTTAGGGTCACAGATACCTTTTTGTTTAACGAAAGCTCATCTCCGTCCAGAAAAAAGGGCCTTCTTAGATCCCTATGTACACACTGCGTGCAGTTTCGGAGTCCCCGGATCTTTGTCTGGAGAGGCAGGCCCCGCGCCGTCCTGCTTCCCTGAACGGTGTGCCCCTGCCCTGGGTCCCCGCGCTGTGCGGATTAGGCTGGCTGACGGGGTTGGGCCACTGGCGAGCACCCTGCGCTGGGAAGCAGGGCTGGGAGTTCTCTGTTTTTAGAAGGCAGTCGGTGTGCAGTGTCCGGTGTGCAGAGAGCCCCTCGTGTATGATCTTGCCTCACTGAAAGCAGCCCCCGAACCCCAACAGCCCATGGTAAGGGGACTCCCTTCTCATCTGAGCCAGGAATAATGGCGTTCTCTGAGGCGGGAGGGATGGCATCTTGTTTGCCTCGAATGGGATCTCTGGAATTGGGCTGGACCGCCCTGGGACCTCTCTGCAGAACTGTAGCCCCCACTAGGCAAGGGCTCTGGGAGCCCAAATCTGCGGGACACACCCAAGCACCTCGTGCAGATCACCTGGGGCAGTCCTGAAAGCAGGGGTTCGAGTCTACTTCCTGTCTACTCTGCTCCCTTCCCTCCAGGAGCTATACCAGCCCAACGCAGAGAGCTTGCGCCAACAAGAAGAGCGCAGGCAGCTCTACCAGAGGCAGCAGGAGCGGGGGGGCATCATAGACCTCGAGGCTGAGCGGAACCGGTACTTCATCAGCCTCCAGCAGGTGAGGGAAGGCTTTCTCACTCCTCCCAGACTGCCATGGCCCTGGGGTGAGCTTCGTTCTACCCTTGAGGTTATAGGCTGATGGTGGTCACCCCCTGTAGTGAGCGAGAGGCCTGCAGTTCCCTGCTTTGGGGAACTACATCTCCCTCACTGCGTCTGCGCACTTCTTTCCAGCCTCCTGCCCCTGTGGAGCCTGAGTCGGCTATAGAGGCCTCCAGAGGATCCCAGCCACCCAGTGCCCTTGCCACAGAACTGTCCACCTCATCAGCTGCCCAACCCAACCCATCAGCTCCTCTGCCCGTGGCCTCCCAGTACACGTGTGAGAAGATTGCAGGGGCTGGGCGAAATCAGCAAAGGTTGGGCGAGACCCAGAAAGCTATGCTAGACCCCCCCCGGGCCAGTCGAGGCCCCTGGAAACAGCCTGAACGGAGGCACCTAAAGGGAGGGGAGTGCCATGCCCACAGAGGTTCCAGTGACACCCAGGAACTGCCACCTCCTGAGGGGCCCCTCAAGGAGCCCATGGACCTAAAGCCAGAATCCTGTAGCCAAGGGGTTGAAGGTCCTCCCCAAGAGAAGGGCCCTGGCAACTGGCAGGGTCCCCCACCCCGCAGGACTCGGGACTGTGCTCGCTGGGAGCGCTCCAAGGGTCGGACACCAGGTTCCTCCTACCCCCGCCTGCCTCGGGGTCGGGGAGCCTATCGTCCTGGTACTCGAAGGGAGCCCCTGAGCCTGGAGTCTGAGGATGGTTCCTAGCAGTACTGTGGGGGGCAGGGACTTGGGGGGGCAGGGGGGCAATAAAGAGATTTGGCCTTGTTTGGCTTTCTTTGCTTGCTTAGTAGTGCCTAGCCTGTACAGTATGGCTCTTTCTGAATTTCTAGCAAGACTGACACGTGGCAGAAGAGCCCCAGCTTTGCTCTAAAGCCCCATTTTCCCAAGAGACCAGGGTCTGAATAAAGACAGGTCTGACATACCAGCTAGTGTGGTGGGTTTCAGGAAAACTGGTAGATGCCACCATTTAAGCAGAATATGTGGGAACATAACATGCACACACCCACTTCGTATACATCCATGTTTTTACACATACACATTTTTTAAAAAATTGAATGCCTTTAGATGGTAGACTGTACTTCCCTGTTTACCATAGTGTTTCTTCAGCTTTGCCTTAGCTTATGCCCCCAGCACTTGCCTCTGTGGCTGCCTGAGGGCCCCTGCTTTTTACTTAAGTACCAACACAGGGAGGTCAGACCAGAATGGTGTGGTAGGTGTTTATTGATCTGGAGGAGAGCTGAGCACAGCCTGCTCTCATGTCCTCAGAGACTCAGCATTATGAATTGCCCCTGCAGGATCATTTTTATACAGCATGAAGTAGCCCTGTACCTGGGCAGGACTGATCTGAGTTGTACCTTGAAGGACACGTCCTGCAAAGGCCTCAGCCAAGGAAGGTGCTTGCCCTGGATAGAACCTCTGGAACATCTGGGTCAGCTGCCAGTGTGAGCAGTAGCCCACGTACTCCTTCATGTCTACTCGTCCAGGGCGTATCAGGGCTGGGTCCAGCCTAAGGGGACAAGGCAGGAAAGGCAGAATCACAGGCACAAGTACCACCAGGACCTCCCCCCCCGCCCCAGAAATGACAGTCCCTCGGAACCTCCTGATCCTCCCAAGGCGCTGAGGGGGTGGGATCTTGCCTCACAGCCTCAGAGGGCCTCACCCCTCCTTACCTGTCAACATGGTTGGTGGTCATGAACACGATGCGTGCCTCGGTGGATGCCACGCCGTCCAAGGCATTGAGCAGTCCGCTGAAGGTGAGGCGACCCAGGCCTTGGTACTTGACTGGGTCTAGAGGAAGGCAGAGATAAAGAAGTGTGGCTGGTCATGACCCTGCTTAAACTCTCTACTCCCCACCACATTCCCTGACTTATCAGTGCCTCTTGTGGACTCCTGTTGCCCCAGGCATTTTGGTCAGCCCTCTGGATTTCCACTTTCTTCCACTGCTCCTCGCTTACTCCTGCATCTCATTTACCTTCATTTAGAAATGCTTCCCCTTTCCTCAAAACTCCCCCCACTTACTCTCTGCAGCTAGGTCTCGGCTAAGAAAGGCTGCATCCACGTCCTCCAGGAGCACCAGGCTCTGCTGTGGGGCCACGCTCAGCAGGTGGTTGAGCCGGTCGTCGGAGAGGCTGGAGTCCGTAAGGCTCAGCAGGCAGATGCTGTGTTCCAGTTCCCCTGCCAGGGCTGTGCTATGGAGGACGGGAAGACGGGAGCTGGGCAACCTGGGAAGCCGTTCTCGGGCCCAAATGCTTGTCCTCACTGTCCTGGGTGGGTGTCAGAGACCTAACCCTTCTATGAGTCGAATGCTCATGTCCCACATTTATCCTGTTCCCCGGTCCTCACATTCAACTTCCTATCCGACCCCACGGCCGATTTTTTTCTCCAGTTTACGGATTAAGAGAGAATGTGACCTTACTCACATAAAACTGCTTTTTCCACAACCAGGGGGCCCATAAAGCAGGTAGCCACGTCGGTAGGGAATGCCTAGGAATACAGCCAAGAGGATCAAGACCTAAAATGAATTCCTGCACTCTACCCCCAAGTCCACATTCATTCCCAACCCTGCCCCCTGGTGTCCTGATGACCTCGGGATGGGAAGAAATCACCCTCCACGGCAACTTTTCTTTCCCCTTAAATCTCTGGGAATTAGGCTAGAGCTTTATATTTGCCTGTCTGGCCACAGAGACCAGCCTGTTTCCCCCTGCTCTGACACCACATCAAAAACATCCTGGCCAAGACCCCAACTGCTGCTCACCTCTGTCAGTGTACCACTTGGGATTATCGATGAATTCCCGGACGTCTCTGACAATTCGGTCAGCCAGACCCTGTCCTAGAACCACAGAATTCAGCGGCCGCCGCCGACGTGGATAGCCAAAAGGACGCCACTCAGAGCCCATGGCTGTGTACATGACCGTCTTCCCTTCCTCCTGCTGCAAGGCCAGCTCTCGAGCTAGTAGGGGGGCAGATGAGACAAGTTACAACTCAGATCTTTGCCGCGCAGTTAGGCAGAGCTGTGCCAGAACAGCTTCCCTCTTGGCCCCCTGGGCTGAGATCCTCCTCTCCAAGCTTCCCTTGCTCCGATGTCAAATGCCCCCATCCTTGCAACCCCCACGTAAGGCCAGCCTGTGCCATCCCACACCTTCCTCCAGGATGTTGAAGAAAACCTTTCGGTCAGTGCCCAGAGCTGTGAAGGTGACAGATTCCCAAGGGGTCCCTGTCTGCAGGTCTATCATCTGCATCTCTCGGCTTCGTTCCACTCGGATCCATTTCCCCTGATACCTGGATAAAAATGGTCAAGGCGGGGTGAATGAATGGGTCAAATCCAGCTCCCCTCATTCTCCTTTTCTACTCTTTGAGCCCTCCCTGGTTCCCAACCTTACCAGATAAAGTGGTTTCCAGGGCTGGGGACAAATTCAAACTTAGTGGAGATGCGCCCACTCTCATGCTGAAGGTACGAAGTCTCAACACTGAGGTGTTGAGTACGGGTACTGTGGCGGGTGAGCCAGCTAAGCAACCAGGCATAGCTCCGGTCTCGAGCAGGGACTTCCAGTGTGATCATGTAATGGCGCCGGAATGCCACCAGGCCCAGTTGGGCACCCTTCCGGGCCAGGGCCAGGGCTGTGCCCACACCCACAAGCCCAAATCCAGCCCCAAAGTAGGGATTGTCCTTCAGGGCCAGAATAAAGTCTGAGAGGGGCATCTTGAGAGGGAAACACTCAACCTTACAGGCTCTGAGGCATTTTCAAAACCTGTGGGTAAGGGAGCAGCGGAGATGGGACAAAGCACAAGATTAGTTCAGAAACTGGACTCCGCAATCCCTCCTCATCCTTGCCCGCTCCCTCCCGCAGAAGCCAAGTGCAGGTAGCACAGGTCAGTGCTACTGGGTGTTTCAATATCTTCTGTAGGCTGGAGGAGGTGCTGGAATGCAAGAGCTGAGACTTCAGGGCCCTCTTTCCATTTTGCCCTTCATTATCCTGTTCGTATCTCATTTTCTGCAGGAGGACTAGGTCTGAAGATTCTTTAAACATGAGAGAGTGATGTAACCAGCTTCTCATCAGGATAATGGAGAGAATGTTTGTGGTCCCTGGGATTAGCTGAGATAGAAAGGGGCGCACTGGCCAGAGTGAACAGGGGAGGAAGAAGCTATTTTCTTCCACTGACCTGTCAGTAACCTCATGCCTTGTCACCATGATTAATGTCCTTCAAATATCCTGTCCTTCACATACTCAATTGCTAATGTCCTGTTTAGCCCTTTATTACCTCCCAACTGCCTCTTGAAAATTAATTTGAGTTCTTGAAATGTCATCTTAATGGGTCTCTCTACCTACTGCTTCACCAAATCGCCTCACAGGGATCCAGAACATTCTTCATAAAGTCCGTTTCAACCCTATTACTCTGGCTACCGCAACACCTCCAATGGCTGGCTCTCAACAGATCCCTGAATTAGGTAAAAATTTCTTTGCCTGGTACTCAAAACCGCCCACAGCACGGCGCCCGCCTATCTTTCATTCTTAGTGCCTAATACTCCCAGTTGTACAAATATACAAACAACCTTCTCCTTGCTCAAGCAGGTCTCTACTCGGAATGCCCATTCTAATTGATTCCTTCCCTCCAACTGAAGACCTGTCCATTTGCTGCTTCCTCCATGGAGATTTTTCCCGAACCTCTCCCCCCGCCTCAATAAAACGTGACCGAGTCTAACTCTAGAGATCCCGAGGAATAGGGGACTACGTCGTTTCTAGTACACCTTCCCGGCCCCTGCCACTTTGCGCGGGGCGCAGGGGGCACGCGGAGCGGTGAACCGACGGCCGAGACCACCGCCGAGGATCAGAGTAGAATCCAGAATGCCAATATATCTATGCATGGAAGGCCACAGACAAAGCCCTCCCCCCTCCTGGCCCTTGTCGGACTCCCAGAAGCCCCCTCCCGAACCCCCTCCACACCCCAGCTCGCGCCTCCCGCAGCGTGGTTTGGAATAACACGTCACTCCGCCCCCTTACCGCCATGACTCTCTGGCCCTCCCTCTCGATGGTTTCAGCCCTGCGTACTTGAGGGAAGCGCCGCTCGGCCCCGCCCCCGCGCTCGTTCACCTACTTCCCGCCACACCCACCCAGCGGGCCCTGCCGCTCTGCCCCACAACTCTCTATGGTACTCCTTGAGCTTCTCGGTTGGGGGAAGGGGCGAGGGGAAACGCGAGAGAAAACCATAGAGTATCCCGTCAGCCGACGAGGGGAAGAGAGAGCGGCCTCCACCGGCCCCGAAGTCCTAGAGGTGGCTGGGCCGGAGGCGGTCGCACAAAGGGAGTCCCGGGAGGCCGCTCCAGCCCGTGGCGGACCATAGAGACTCGGCTCCCGCCCGCCCTGGGCCGGGAGGTGAGTGAGCAGCTGCCGGGCGGGAAGTAGTAGTGGGTGCGTGTGGAGCGGGCCGCAGGCAAAAGTTTCTCGAGCCCCAGGATGAGGGTGGGCCTGGGCAGCGGGACCCCTCGGGAGGAGGTGCTGAAGGGAGCACGCCGACGATCGGGGCCCCGGCGCATCACAGCAGCAGTCCCGGTGCCCCAGCCGCGTCACTGCCCTGGACCCCGCCCGGTTACCCGCTGCCTCTCCTCAGGACCGTAATCATGACGATGCGCCATCCCAAGCTTTGCAGGTTACAAAAACGCCTTTCCCATTTGCTGGCTTTTGTGATTCTCGCTCCCGCCCATCGATGTGGACGCTGTCATCACCTCCACTTTACAGATAGGAAAGCTGAGGCCCTGGGAAGCGAGG